GCCCCTGCCCCTTCCCCAGCCCCTCCCGGCCCTGCTTGCTCAGGGGCCTGCCCTGCCTTCTCCCCTCCAGCTTCACCCTCTCCCTTTCTCCTCCCCTGACCACATGCATTTTTATTTCTTTTTAATTTTTTTTTTTAAGCACCTGACTGGGGCTGTACTCCATGGAGAGAAGGACTCCTGGGCCTGTCACCTCACAGAACTTTGCCTCTCTGCAGGAACCCCGAGGGCAGTGGCAGAACCCTCCTGCCACCTCCAGCCCATGCCCCCTGCTGCAGCCCAGGGAGGGTGTTTCTGCCAAGTGACAGCAGTGAGAAATGAGATCTGCACCTCAGGAACAAGTCAAACATGCTCCTCTGTCCTGAGGGCTCCCTCGTGTCACAGGCTGTCCCTGACCCACCCTCAGACAGCTCAAGCTGTGCTTGTGCTGACAACAGGAGGCAGGAGGATGAGCATCACCTTGCTCCCTGTTCTGTGAGTGAGGACCATGGAGAATAACCTTTACGCTAGGCAGGCCCCCAGGAGCACCTAGCCAGCCCCAGGACACCCTGACAAAGGCAACACGTACATTTGGATCTTAATCAGCAGCGTGTAGATGTCCTTCAGGATCTCCCCTCGGTGGGGGTGCAACAGGATCTGTTTAATCAGGTGCGAGATAATTTCTTTGGGGGGACAGTGCTGGTGGGAGACGAAGTCGCTCAGGAAATGCAAGGTGACCTCCAGGAAGTTCTCCTCCATGGTGGTGCGCACCATGTTCAGCTTCCCACTGGGGATGAACTCGGGTTTCTGCTGTGTACAAGCAAGGCAATGCGTGAAAGCTGGCTCCACCCCAACACAGAGGAACCCAGCTGTGATGTGGGAGCCACTGTGAAGGGAACTGCAATAACCAGAGATCCCAACTGCCTTTCAAAGTTTCCCCTAAAAAGGGAGGTGGAGCAGGGGCTGCCCCTTCTCCATCCTCTACTGCAGGGGCTGCTCTGAGCAGGCTCCTCTGGGCTTAGCAGTGGCTGCTCTGAACCCCGATTACCTGATGTATTTCTTTGTTGGGTGCTACTCCTTGGAGGAAGAGGTGCTGGACTCCACTCCTCCTGAAATAGTGGAGTTTGTTCAGCCAGGCCTTGTTGTCAGCCTTGATCCTGGCTGGGCTCACTTGCTTGATTGCTTTGTGTGGTGCTAAGCCACCTGCTGCCAGCAAAGGCCCTTGGGCCTTCCCTGAGGTTGTGGGGATGACTGGGGCAGGGCTCAGCCTCGGTGGGAGCTCCTTTTGCTGGCAGAGGTGGGGAGTGTCTTCCTCTGGGCCACTGGCTCTCCAGCTGCTGTTGCTGTCCAGACTGGAAGGGGATAGCAGGTCCGAGTCCACCTGTATGCTGGCTAGAGAGCCCAAGTCACTGTTATAAGTGGTAGTGCTGCAGTTCTGCTCTGGGCTGCAGGAAGAGCTGTGGCGGATGGAGGTGGGAGAGAAGCGGGTCCAGTCCTCCGTGCCTTCTGATGGATCTGTGGTGGCACCGAGCTCTGTGGGAGTGCAGTGCCAGCGTGCTGCAGGGCTTGGCCCCGCTGTTGCCTCAGTTTGTGTTGTAGTGGAGCAGCGCTGGAGGTGGTGTGTGTGTGCTGCTGAGGCAGCAGGTGCCTGCCTGGGGTCCTCCTCAACCCAGCCGGTGGTGTGGGGAGGGCTGCGTGTGTCCTCTGTCAGGTCGATGATGGTGGTGACGCTCGCTGGCTCTGCATCTGTGCTTGTGTCCTCACAGGTGAGATCGATGATAGCCTGTGTGGACAGAGGGAACAGTGCTGTCAGTGATGGTGGCACCTGGGTCCCTTGGTCCTCTTTTATCAGGGACCTCTGCTATGGTGGCACTGTTGCCCCAGCCCAAAGGGAAAAAGGGGCATGTTGGCACCAGCTCAGGAAAAGAAACGAGGGGCACAGACCCCGCTGCCTGGCTGAGGGGATGGGGCAGCCTGTGGGGTAGTGGTCTGAGTGCCAGCTGCCCCAGGCAGCATGGCTGAGCCTGACCTGGGTTCTTCTTCCCAGCTCCTGGCAGAGACAAACCACCTGGTCCCCCCTCATGGCAAAGGGCCATGTCCTCTGCTCCAAACACCTCGTGCCTTTGCCCTGAGTGGGCCTGGCTGCCTGCTCAGTTCCTTCCTGCTGGGGTGTCTGGGGAGGGCAAGGGGAGCCCAGAGAGTGCTCCTGTCCCCCATCCCCAGGGGTTCCTGCTCAGCGCTGGCAGGAGCAGCGCAGGATCTGAACCCCAGCACCTGCCCTGTGGTGCCACCTCACCCACTACGTGGACGCACGCGGTGGGGAACACAGCTACCTTCACATCCATGGCACCAGGCCGCAGCTACA